GAGACGCTTCTTACGCGTCACAACTTTTATACCCGATACTCGGTACTACAACTGTACCTTAGCCACTGCAAATTAATTTATTCATTCTGGCTATAATAATAATCCAATCTGATCCCTTTCTGATAGATATATTCCTTCCCTACGGAATGGCTTTTTAGTTTTCTTTTATCTTCAAAATTGTGGCTGTGGGAGATTTTCGCACTTTGTGGTGGCGAAAGGGGGCGGCCTCACTTTTGAAATACACTTGTAACAGTGTGACATACAACCAAATGCATGCAAAAATTAGTCTCTGAGATTCAGGCTCTATCGACCGGCTATTGAATCTAATCAAGAACACATATATTCCATATAGGGTCGGAAACGTTTCCTTCTGTGCGTTACGTACAACCGTTATTCCACACAAATACAATATTCCCTATTTATTTACACTTCGATTACAGGGTATAATTATACTTTTTGATTGTTTATTTGATGGTGGTACGGATCTGATTATATTTAAAAATAATGTAACATACTCTCTGGAATGGATTGAATAAAATAATCTACGTCTTTTAAGTAACAACTTTCTGATTGATGCGTGATTTCATAATTCAAACTGATGGAAAGGCCGCATATAAGAAGTCACCTGCTCGATGTCAGCCTACCTTTTTGCTAGCGATCAAAGTGCCTTCTGTAGCTGTCTGTCAGCTACTTGAGCCAGCCAGGGGCACTTAGTGATTTTTTGCTTATTTCTTTGGGTTGTTGTTTGCTGCTGACCAGACAAGCAGCTGCCACTTTTTCCTGCCTGGCCTTCCGAAAAAAGACGACATGCACTTGGCGACGACAGGTTACCGGCATAAGAACGATCGCAACATGGTGACAACATTTAACGATAATCGTCTAAATTAAGTGTGCTGTGCCTCAACTGTCTCGGATACTTTGAGAGTTATGTGAGTGATGTATGTTGTCCATATGAAAGATGTAGAGCTAGCGTCTTTTGGGTTATACCCGACACGATTTTTCCGCTTCGAAACATACTAACTTTTTCTGATAGATATACATATCTTAGAAATGGTTTCATGATAATTGTTTTTTTCTAAAGCAGAACTTTTTTTTAAAGAATTGTTTAAATCTAGTATTTTAAGAGCGTTAGTTTTTTAGAAGTAGCGCTTCTTTTTTCACACAACTTACGTATATTACATCTGGTTTACTTAGCCATTCTAAAATACTGATGAATGCATCTATAATATATACAAAAAAAAAACTGTGGTTTTAATTATTAAGCTTATATTAAGCTTGCAAATGAAAAAATGAAGATTTTTGTGAGGTATGTTTTATGTTGACTTTTAAAACTCACGGAAGGTCGAAAAACAATTATATCCTCGGTAATTATCCTTAATATCGTCCATTAACTTAGCGTCGTTCAAGGTATTTCTCATTAAAATTTTTGGGGAGTCGACTGAGCTGATATAAGTTGTCTCCTATTGGCTAAGAATGGATAAGTTCATTACAATCAGCTGTAAGATACGTAAGTTATGTGAAAAATAATCCCTACACAGAAACACTTAATTTTCCGTTAAATACCGCCATAGATAAAATTGTTTGGAATTTGAGTATTTTTCAGTAGTTTTCGAGTACTGAAGCCAAAAATACGGTGGCAGTTGGGCCAGAAACCTCCCAAAAGGTATTTTGTATGAATTTTTACATTTTTATACGGTAAGTTGACCAATTGTAGCTACATAGATTTCCAGTGTTCTTTACAACCAAATATAGTCGAAAAGTCAATTTGGTTCATTGAGGAAAAAAAATATCGATTTTGTCGATTAGTGTTATGTACTATGTGTATGGTATAGTGTATGGCTGTCAGAATTTTGTAGATTTGAAAAAATCAAAAACGCAGTTCCGTGGAGAATATCTGCTTCACAAATTATAATCAGATCAGATCGTTATTATAGCCAAAATTGGAGGGACGGGAATACCCGGTACTCAGTCAGCATATATGGCTCGTATGTAAGTACTATTTGTATACCCGGTAATCGAAGAGTAAATAGGGTATATTGTATTTGTGGGGAATAACGGATGTTTGTAACGCCCAGGAGGAAACGTTTCCGACCCCATAAAGTACATCTATTCTTGAGCAGCATCAATAGCCGAGTCGATTGAGCCATGTCTGTCTGTCAAGCAAAGGCTCTTTGGAAAATGGTTGCCCTGCCTGTATCAGATGTACGGATCCTTAGATGATAAGAAGATCTCAACATTGTTTTTTGCATATGTACATATGTATGTATATTACAAATTATATATAACTATGTACATATATACAAACATATGTCAAATCGGAATCTTTTTCAAACTTGTGTGAGCTTTTTAGCGCTTTTGATTATATTTATCTGGTACCTTTTAATTTGAGCTTAATTTATTATTCCATCTAGCAAATACTATCTAACTAAATGATGAATTACATATAAATATTAAAAAACTATAACCATACGGCCTGGAAAATAATTGAAACTCATCAAGTTTTATTTGGTTGTGAGACGGTGGTGGCTTAGGCATAATTAATACTCTTATCACGTATAGAAGCATCTGACACTCCCCTAAAAAATCCCTCAATTACATTTCCTGTTCAAACGAATCCGTCGAACAACTACCGGAAACACCTTACCCCAAGGATTGTCTTAAAATTGCCACCCTTAATTACTTATAAGCGCTTCGAACTACCCGAAGACTCTGTCTTCCCCCATCACCACTGAAAGTTCATTCTGTATGACCAGGCATTTGGGACGCCATGACAGAAACTCGCACCGACACTCATGCAGCAGGCCCCGGTGCGCTGGCCATTGATTAAATTGATTATGTTTGATGACTGCAGAAGCCGATTTCATAAAAGATTTTTTTCGAGTAAAGGGGTACCTTATATGCCATTACGCTGCATGCATCAAGATGCCTTGAAGTCAGAATCTTTAACGGAGAAGTGTGTTTGGCGTTCAGGAAGAGGATGTGTAACTTCACGCATCACAGGTTGAACTGTTTCAAGCTTGAGCTCCTTGCTGACCTGAAAAAATCTGTTGAGCCACTTTTCTTGGAGTCAAAAATGCGAGCTAGGACTAGGTACTCAGTCAGTGTATACATAAATATACATACATACTTTCTGCGCATAAATTATAAAAGTAATTCACCAAATTGATTTTTCTAAATTTTTGAAAAAAATTTCGGTATACATATTGCCAATTCTAAGTATGATGAAGTAATCCCGTACAGGCCTACAATCAACATTTGATAGCTATCAACCACGGTTTTTCCTTTAGGAACTAAAGCCACTTTTTATGAAAGATATGGGGCTTGGAAATGGTCTGATGACAATTTTTTTTTTCTATTGCCAAACTCATTGAAAAGTTTTTAAAATCTTGTATTTTTTTTAAAGCTTTTTTGCAGAGGTAGCGGTTTGTTTTTTCACATAACTTAAATATCTTATATCTAAAAATGGTTAAAAAAATATGTCCAAGAAATATAGGGACTTCCTGAAAACTCCTAAACCTACCAAATATTAATTATTAATTGTCCTGTCAAACAAAAACAAGTTTAATCTGTTAACTAAGAAACTGTTAATTTTTAACGCAGACATGACATTCAAGCTGCATTCTTCTTCTGTTCCTTGGAATTATTTGTTTAATGCTTTGAAGTAATTCAAAGCACTTTCCACAATCACAGAAAAAATATAAACTAGGATGGACGTGTGAGGACGTTTATACCCGGTACTCTACTCAGCAGTACATCTGAACCTCATGGTTTTTTGCATTATGTTTTATTTAGGGATGATCTTAACATAATATAATCTTAATGACTGGAGTGTTCCAAAACTGAGACAAGTCAAAAATGTCTTTTATAGGCTATATAGGTTGAAGTCAAGTTTTCGATATAACTAAATCCAAACTCATTCATTAACGTAAAATAAACTTAAATTTAATGCCGTCCTCAATAAATTCCACTACTTTGCGCCTCATTAAAAAAACGAATGCTCAAATTTACCAAGCGGCAAAGTCAGACAATAGAATAGATAGAAATTTACATGAAGTAGACGACGGTCGACATTGAATTTCAAGCATGTGGTGCTATGATGAGGTTGGAGGCCACCAAAGGCAAACCACCACCCATCAGCCACCCACCACCGCCATCCACCGGGACTAAGATGAATCCACCCCAAAGTCTTGGACGTAGACAGACAAAAGGGCGGTACGGCCTTGCTCCGTACGGAGTTAGCAAAACGATTTTTTCAGCATGATATTGTGGGGGAATTCCCTTAAAACCCGATACTGGCGAGTACGTGCCGTTAGTTCGCCCTCATGCCAATGCATTGGCATAATTTCAGGCAATTGTCCAACAAAACGAGGGGTGGCAGTCGGGTAAATTTGATTTGATTCTTGCGCAATTGCACAAAGCCCGGCACGGAAGCCCTCAGCCCCAACCCCATCTGGAGCATTTTAATGCTCAAAGGACCCACTAGTAAATATTCATTGCATACGGTCGGGCGTTCGAGCTTAAAGTTATATCACTCACCTCGGTTCTTGTTCCTGCTCCCCTACTGTAAGCTACGATTTTTTCAAGGTCTTTGCCAAATTTGGGCGATAAGACATTTTTGCCAGACACCCAGTGTCCTTGCTATGCGTCCCCTAACGAATTGGGGGTTGACATTATCCCCTAAGGGTGTTGAACTATAAATTGAACCTTTCGTTGCAGCTTGTGCCTGGGTTTCCTGAGTCAGATGTGATCCGACAGCCCTTGTTTTGAGGTTTCTTCAATAAATGCTTGGATGTTTCGTTGGGATATTAAGTGGATTCTATGTATAGCATGAGTAATGATTGATGCATAATGTGCACGCATGTGGCAGGTGTGGGGTGAGTTAAGGGGATGAGTTGTGGTTCAAATACCTAAAGTAAGGTACTGGGGAGTTTGGAATTTTGACATGAAAGATGTTACATTTTTGTTGTGTTTCTGTATTTTATTTTATTGTATTTATTTATTTTATTAAATGTTTTAGTTTAATTATGGAAATGCTTAATCTCGAGCTCCAAATTTTCGAGGTCCCATTTCTGTGATGCTCCAAAGATGTGAACATTTTCAGTGAAATAATATAAATCATATGTTATAGGAATCAGCATTAAATGAAAGCATATCGATCTCAGTGAGACAGGCAGGTTCATCTGTTAAATTATACATGTTATTCACTAAATAAAAATAACAAATTTTAGACTTGCATCACTAATCGGATGGTAGGAATGCTCCAGGAAGTATTTGTGCAGCTCAACGGAGGCATTCATCTGACCACCCAAGTGTATGTCCACTTCGAAGGGCAGAAATCGATGTTTTTTAAACTCATCTCGGCTGTCGCCGGCTATAACATTGACATTGCTCAGGCATCGACCCAGCTCTTTCGCAGCCTCACTTCCTCTACTATGAGAGCTGCACAGGTTTTCATTGATTAATGCCTCGAGCACGAAACGCTTTAGACTGGCAGCACTTAACACAATTCCAGAGTCATCATACATGTAAATCTAAAAAGATGGAGGCTTAGAGAGGATAATCAAGGGTTAATACTAACTCACCAGACCCTTGCTTCTCATCTTGCAGCCAAAGTAGATGAGCTCTTCTGAGCTATAGGACTGCAGCATATGCCGAAGATTTTCCACAACCACAAAACTTAAAACAATAAAATGAAATGCTGTTTTTCAAGGATGGTGTTTAAAATTATTACTTATCATCGTTGGCATAGAGGAACCAGTCTCCTTGATAGAAATGATACTTGTAGATGTACTCCAGATGTGCCCGTATCCGCTGCCATTTATCCCTAATATTCCTAAACACGACGGGCTCCAAAAAAATATGCACATCGTCACTGATGAAGACATACCGATCACAATGCCGAGCCCAGGTCTTTTTAATGTGGATGGCGGCATGTTCGTGACGGAACGCGTAAGTGACAATTACACAGAAGATGCGCGGACGAGGGAGCGGTGTCACCAAAATATCTGCGGTGGTTGCATCCCTCTGATACAACAGAATAAGCATAATAATTATCCCTCCAAAGAATATCCAGATATTTAAAACACCAAACCTATTCTTGCCACCGTACAAGAGTCGCCGTGTATTGAAATGTCGAACCATTTTCAATTGAATGTGGGGCGGTCGATTCTGTTGTGTTCAGGGAGTTCCATTTACAACTTAATTATATTAAGTGGTGACTTCTGTATGAAGTAGTTTGTGCTGTCTTTGAATGGGCCCGCTTCGTAGACAATGCAATTTTCAATTACAATTATTAACTCATATGACACAAGACTCACCTGGTCTTTTCTGTTGTCTGTTAAAGTTGGGGATTGATAAGTGCTCCCAACGCAATTGCGAGTGAGCAAATACATTTAAATAAACGAGTAGGAACGTTTGTGAGACGCTCGTCTTTTCACCACAAGTACAATATACCCTACTTACACTTCGAGTACTAGGTATAAAAACTATTGAAGAATTGCAAGTTTTGATTCATGAGTACCGTCAAAGGGAATATGACTATAGGCCTATAGGGCACACCACATTAAAAAACAGTGCGCCTTTCACTTTACCTCTATGGTGGTGCGGAAAAGAGTTACAAAGATACAACATACTTTAACACATCTCCTTTCCTAAATACATACATGTCTGCGAGCGAAGCCGCGTGGGGCTTGCTAGTATGTATGTAAGTATATAACACTACTCCACAAAATATATCTTGTGGAATTGTGGACACAGCAAATGTTCGTGCTTTGTGTGGCCAGAAGGGGGCGTGCGAAATTTTGGGTAACTTGTAATGGTGTGAGCATGCCTACATCTGGTGGCTCTGGCATTTATAGTCTCTGAGATCCAGGCGCTCAACAAGCCGGACGGATAGACGGTAACATATATCGACTCGGCTATTGATGCTGATCAAAAATATGTATACTCTATGGGGTCGGAATCGTCTTTTTCTGTGTGTTACATACATCCATTTTAGCCACAAATACAATATACCCTATTTACTCTTTCAGTACCTGATATAAGTATTATCATCAGACCATTTCTAAGCCCCATGTCTTCTTAAAAAGTGGGTTTGCGGTAAAATCGTGCCGGGTAGTGTAATTTAGTGTGACATTACTCATTTCGCAAATCAAATACATACTATGCATAAGAAAAATCTGACTTGCATAAAAATATATATACCATACTTTTTAGTAAATCATCACAAATAGTTGTCATAAACATTTACATACTTCAATGAGTTTAGATTTAAATCTGGTTTTAGAAACAATAATTTACGGGAACTACGGGGAACTAACCATACTTTCTGTGTTTAGGTTATTAAACTTAGAAGTCCTGCCGAGACGCTCTTTTATTAATTCGAGAATTTAGGTGAGCTTTGCATAGGAATACCGAACAATTGCACTCGATAAATAAAATAATAATAATCGTATATTTCAGGTGGATATCCAACACGAAAAGCTATGGCTCGCTTCGACAAAGGGACTTTTGCCTAACGAGAGGATAAAATATAAGTTATTAGCACAGAACTTTATAATATTATTATGTACTCACCGTGTCCACCTTATGGTATGCCAAGTCCTTTAGCCAGTTTATGTAATCATAGCCCTCCAAAAAGTGGTGATTCATTTGAACAGGCATGAATGTCTCATTTTCGTCATCATCAAGGCTGTCTATAGTGATGACACCTGCTCGTCCCAGACACCGACTCAGCTCCAGCTCCTCCGTAAAGCCCTCTAAGTGTTGGCAGTGGGTAGTCTTTGTATTCCTGTCTAGGTCAACATAGCGTCTTAGGCCTTCATGGCTTATCACATAACCACTTTTGGAGAAGACAAAGGGCTTTAAAGCAGAAAAAATAGAGCATATTCCAAATTAAAGAGGAATTTAAATCACCTTATGTGTGTATGTATTTTCCAGTTCATGGCCAAAGTAGATCGGCGCATTAGGTAAAAGTTTCTTGCTGTTTATTATATGGCGGAGGTTCTCTATAACCACAAAGCTATTGGTAGAAAATTATATATTTGACTAATTAATAATTGTAATTAATTAATGCATTCAAAGACATCGTAAGAGAAAAATATCTTAAAAATACACACTTATAATTATAAACATTATTGCACTCAGTACTACATCTGTACCTTAGCGGTTTTTTGTCAAATTTTTTATTTTTTCTTCATCTGTCATCTACATCAACTGACAATAGTCAGTAAATGTGTACGTACATTCATGCTTATTGCAACATTATATATCATATCAATCATATGTACATACATTTGTATGTAGCCTTATGTTTGAATACCCGGTACTCAATGCGTACTCGATGGGTAGCCACTGCAAATTAATTTTTTCATTCTGGCCATAATAATGATCCAATCTAGTTTAGATTCTGTGTTCTGTAGATTCTGTAGATATGGTCATTCCCAACGAAACAGCGTGCCTGAAACCTACCTTTTAGTTTTGTCTTATCTTTAAAAGTGTGGATGTGTGGAGAAGTGGTTGTGGTCTCTGCTACTAATGCTGAAAAAAATAGACAGATAGACGAACAAACAGATAGACATATATAGACTCGGTTATGCATTTCCTTTTATGCGTTATACACATTGCTCCAACCACAAATAAAATATACCCTATTTAATCTTCGAGAACCGTGTATAAAAGTACATACATAGCAATAATGACGGAGATGAATTTGTAAGATGGGAAGGTCCTTACCTAGAGTCTTCCACTTTAAGAAACCAATCGACCTCGTCTTTGTAAACCTTAAAGGCATGTATCAAGCCTCTATGCACCAGAGTCCAATTGTCTGTACCATTGATTTCTGGTACATAGGGCTCCAGTTCATTATCGATATTGCCACTCACAAAGAGCAAGACATTGCAGTGTTTGCCCCACGTTCGTTTTACATATTGAACGGTGCTGGGATAGTTGTAGTTGTAGGGTATCATGCAGAGTATTCTGATGTCATCGTAAAGTAAGTCTACTGCAGCTTTATAGATGATTTTAGTTGGCGACTTCGCTTTGGAGCCGCGTAGGTTCACAGCGAAATATAAAGAAAGAACGGACAGGAAAATCAGAATCAACACCACGTAGAACGCATAGTAGACACTTCCACGCACAATCATTGTAAGTAACTTTACTGACACGGTTCTGAAAGAGCGAGCATGGAACAAAGAATTCATAAAAGTAGATAAGAAGTTAATCAAACTTATATGTAGATACATACATGGTAAGACAATTTCAAGTCATTTAGGGAGCGAACAAACATCTTTGATTAAATACTAGCTACTACTATATGATGAAAAGGTAGATTTTTGTATGTCGGTTGCTTTTTTGTTCATTTCTGTACAAAACGCAGTAAACCTAACCTGTGATTTGGTGTAGATTTAAAACCCGGTATTCGAAGAGCTCTTGTGGTCGGAGCAATTTTTGTAACGTACAGAAGAAAACGTTTCCGACCCTTTAAAGTATGTATATTGTAAATGGATACATATTACTGACTATACTACGAAGTTGCTCGTTATAGCTGGTGCTCGAAGAGCACCATTTGTCCGTTTGTCCGTTCGTCTTAGTCAGCGCATGGATATCAGAGACTAAATAACTACAGCAACCCTATTTTGCATTGAGATTGCTGTGATATCACACTTTTACAAGTGTATTTCAAAACTTCGCCCACCCCCTTTTGCCCAAGAAAGGGAAAAAATCTGCTGTTTCCACAAATATGAAGATAAGAGAAAAACAAAAATGCCATTTCGTAGGGACTGACAGATTGGATCATTACTATAGCCAGAATGAAGACATTTATTTTCAGTGCTACCCCAACCCCACCTCGAACAAACCATTAGGTTAAATGTAGTTGTGACGCGTTCGAAGCGTCTCACAAACGTCCCTAGTTGAGTTTTTGTAAGATACGTTTGGAAATCCCTATAGACCATTATGACATTTGTGGTTTATATAGATTTTAACCTCTAATTAGGTGATGATGATTTTTTTGGATTTCTGTAAAATTGTAACGATAATGAAGAAACAGGCCAACTTTACTACTGTAAAGCTTCGTTTAGACGATGAGTATGAATCGCAGATTCATGTAGCCTTTTCGGCTATGTCTCTCTCGTTCTGGCCTCAGCTATGATCCACGATTCATGCCAAATGATTCAACGCAAATTCAACAAAGCGCGATTGAGACTCAAGAGTCTAAAACAACATTAAGAAGGCTGAAGCTGGTATTAGAGCAAAGAGCAGAAAAAAGAGCAGATCGCGAGAACGAGAGTAGGTCAGAGAGCTCTCGCCATTTCTTAGTCGTATTTTGCATCGGTCGTTTTTTTGAGATCAGTTGTATTTTATATTAGTCGTTTTAAATGTTATTAAAAATAAAATTCAATTACAACACAATATATTTAAAATATTTTTTTCTCTCTCTTTATATTTAAAATCTGTTTGTTTAAACAATAAGTAAATTGTATAATTAATATCAAATTAAGAGAAATATCAGTTTTCCAATGAGCCCTACTATTATATATAACATCTTTTCAGTTTGTTGGATTTATCTATCGGGGAGATCGAGAATGTGGTATCTTTTCAGTCTTCTTACTGTTAAGCTATTGTCTAATAGACTTAAGGCTAAATTATTTTCGTGGTTGTGGAGTCTGTCGATGTATTTCTTACTAGTTTTCATTATTTCTTCTTTAATGGTTGGAATATTAAGATCTTTTTGGAATTTAAAATTTAAATTTAAAATATTTACTCAATAAAACAATCATACACATATTTATGAATTTATCAACACATAACATTTCACATATGTATATATGTATAAGTGCATGTATGTATGTATGTTCATACATCTGAAAGTATTTGTGAAGTGTAAATATTCTCTCGCTTGCCTTATTACAAGGGCAAACACCATAAAATTGCAAAATGTTTGGTCTGGAGACGGCTGATGTTCTTACTTAATTTAGTTTATTTTCTTATCTTGTACATTAAAAGGCGTTTGCACAAGATTTCAAAATAAATTTGCGCTTAAAAAAGTCGCAGAGGTGTATCAAGTTAAGTCAGTGTTTCATTAACAGTCTAGTCTCATAAAATTACATCGTAAATATGATTATGGCTTGGTTCGATGTTGGAAATTAATGAGTAGGTGGAGCTCAATAAATATACCTACAATGTATTTAATATTCAAAAATAGAAAATCTAGCTTTGATAACCATAGGTTTTGTTTTTTCAGTGAAATATTTAAAATACTATTAAAATACTTTTTGCCTAGTTTCATAGACTGATGACCGCGCTCGGACCGTTTGGAAAGACCGGCTTGCCAATTTCGAAATTGTGCGGGTAATTTGTTATGCCTTTTTGTACAAAAAAGTAGGTCAAAAGTTGCGACGTTGTCGCTGCTGTTTCTGGGTATCTTTGCGTTGTTGTTGACCAACCGGTTTCACTTTCAATATTTGGCTGAGCGATGTCTGAACTTGCTTTGTGAGTCGTGGTCAAATCGGTGTCTCTTCCAGACGGCTGTAGTCTCATCATCAGCTTTAGCTTTAGGTAAGCTCAGCAGAAAGCGAGGGTTAATGTGCATTTTATTCATAGATTGTTAGTTTAATTAGTTTGAGCTGGTTGCAGGGTGAAATTTTGGTGCCCCGTGGCAGCATTAGACTTTCACCCGACGAATGCATCTTCTATTAATAAATGAGTTTTCTGGGATGAACTAAAATTTGAGTTAATTGAAAATTATGTCTCCAAAATTGCATAATTTTTGATTTTGTGAAAGAGTTTCTTACTGCATCTAGGTAACTGATAAGTTAAGTAAAATCAAAACCACATAACATATAAACCGATATTGAAACTCATTAGAATATATGAATAGATTTGCGCTTATTTTAAATGTTAGAGAGAATGGTGTTACATGGTATGTAGAATGAGTACAGGTGCGTTGAGCAATCCACTATAGAGCCCAGATGGCTGACAGAGCCAGTACAGTCACGGCTGACTTCGCTTTGAGGAAGCTTTCGATTGGGCTCAGAACGTGAGTTGATTACCAGACTGCTGGCCACGCGATGTTAGACATATTTTGCATTTTGTTAGTGGATCAAGTCGCTTAATAAAACAATTTGCACACATGGTTGTGTCTCCCCAAATTGGGAAGCATATATTGGCATTTAAATAGTGAGGAATAGCCCGCTTCGTCCATGGAATCCATACATACGTACTGTTGGTTGGTAGAGTGCCAAATTGAGTAATATTTGAAAATGTATAGGTACTAGAGATGAGCCTTAGTTAGTTGAGCGGCTCGGAAACTGTCAAATAAACTATAAGCCATCATAAATTAAAATTCAATTTTAATTTAGTAATATTTTGCTCTGCATAAACGACTGCATAATAAGGCAATATGCAAATGACTTTCGGTTAGGCACGGTAAGAGGTTCTTCCCAGAACGGATACAGAACCCCGGATCTACCTGCACCCATTTCACATCCCTGATTCGATCATTCGATGGTATGAGATAAATAATTTGTATTACGATCGCATAGTAAACTGTATTTGAGCTCCCAAAAACTGAATTTTCGTGTGGCTTTCCAGCTAGTGTCGAGTTTTTTAACCCATTCAAGAGATAATAGCAACAAAGAAACTGACTGACTCGGTCAGGTCAATCTTAAAATAAAATAATAAATAAATAACACATACCAGCCAAACTCCATACAATGGAAACACTAGAATTCATTCCATTTGTTATTTAAGAAAATTGAGTTATGTCTGTGAATGAAGAATAAGTGACATGGTTCTCGTATTTAGAAAGATTTATTGATTTCATAACACAAGACCTACCACAATCCACATTGGCTTCAGACATGGCCATCTTTTGGTCTTGTGACTGACTCGTAGGCTGGCTGAGCCGAGGATCACGTATACAGGTGAAACGAGGAGGGACGTGTACATTCATATGAATGTATGTATGTAACTTTAGTTTGATACACATGTAAATTGTTTTAAATTTTTTTACATAACTTCTCACACCAACACACCAACACCCTACCCCAGAGACCAGAACCAGAGACGCGAAAGAATTACAACAACAAGCAAGCATAAGGAATGCTGGAATGGGGAGAGGCCGCTGCAAATGAATTTCCTCATTCTGGCTATAATAATGATCTGAGCCGATCTTAATTCAGTGATCTGATGGATATGGCCATTCTCTACTCGAAATTTGTAAAATACACTTCTAACACTGTGATTTGGTGACTCTACCTCCTATAGTCAGTGACGGACGGACAGACAGACTTGGCTTTATCGACTCGGCATCAGCATCAATATGCTGATCAAAAATGTATACATATGTATATATGTATACATTATGGGGTCGGAAACGTTTTCTTTTGTGCCCTCCGGGAATTTAAAGGACAACATTCATGCTATGAAATCAGTGTTTGAGATTATGTCTATTGTCTATGCAGGGAGGAATCAAAAGCGATTTGCATTCCTATAGTTGGATTTACTAGCTTATCAATACGAAATAACAATTGCACAAATGCATTGTGTACAACAATTGCAGTCGCAGTTGCTATACGATTCAATACAGGGAACAGAAATCAACACGGTCGCATTTAGAACAAGCTATCAAGCGCCCTTAGCTCAATGTCAAACCCAAGCTATCGCTATCTGTCTAACTATCTATCTATCTATGAAACTCTCTCAATCTATTTTGGTTGGTTCTCCTCAGCCATTTGCTTTGAACTGTTGCTGTTTGCTACGAACTGAAGCTGTAAGCTATTTATAAATCTCTAAAACGATAGAAATTTGGGTATGTTAATGGACGGATTTGTGGGCCAATCCAATCCCTTTCTGCAGAATCGAAGACTTATATTAATGTATTTGGATTGATTTTAGAATAATAATGTACATATGTATGTTACTGGGGGCTTAAGTAATTCAGTTCATTATAAGGGGAAGGAAGAGGTTAATCTTTCTCCCTCTAATTTCAGTTTAAAATATGTACACTTTAAAGTTGCATACAATTTGCTTATTATTTAACAATAAAAATTCGGTTGGTGGCCTAATCTTAATCTAATATCAATATAAATATAATTTTTAAGTCCGAAAATAAAAACTTTTGAATTAAAATTTTCATTAAACTATATGACCGCCTAATATTTTTCAGCAACACGTTTTGCAGTAACGTCTTTTTTATAATCACAGCGCTTTGCTAAAACTTATGTACCTACACAGGTGGTTGGTGAGGCCCATCGATATCAATATAATGATTGATATCACACAGCTCAGTTAATTTGTTATCTATAAGAACGAATCATATATCCGCCTTTATCGCCTAAAGTCTTTGCACAGGTTGTCTTTTGTTTTTAATTTATTTTTCTCATCGACCTCCGCATAACTGGTAACAACCGGCATCATTACATAGTTAGTCTTAATCTCTTCAAATGTGGTCGTGGGAGTGGCTATAACCGGTGCTATTATTGATGCATCCATTAATGTCGCTGATGGAGTGGTGCTAGGTGGTAGGAGGGGCATTGTTATCTCACTAAACGAAACTGTTTGTGGAGTTGCTACATTTTCAGCTGCACCATTTTCAGTTCTTATTGTTTGTTGGCCTGTTGCTGATGCGGATGTTGCTGTTGAGTCGGAGATAGCTATTTCGTTCCTATTGAATACATTAAACACGCTTGGATAGACAAGCAAGAATGATGATTGTGGTGCTTTGTACAAAAGCTCCAATGCCGCTTCGTAGCTAGGTAAGCCCGATACCAATGTATATTCCGGCACAGGATCAGCTGCATCCGGATGCAGCTTCAATGCTTCGATATCAACAATTGTGCACTGTGTGGAATTATTCGGATTACTGCGATCTAAAAATGAAACATAAAATGGGTTATTATGTTTGTATGTAAATCGAAGTGGAAAGTGTGTAAGACTTTTATATATATATATATAATTTAACTGGAAAAATATTCCGAAAGATGAAATTATCAACATTTACAATGAGATACATACAATGTACGAAACCTATGAATGACCTCTGCATACATTGCGAGGTTGACGAATAAATTAAAAAACAAAAAGAGAAGGGACGTGTGAGACGCTTCTTACGCGTCACAACTTTTATACCCGGCACTCAGTACTACATCTGCACCTTAGCGATAATTTGTGTGGCACAGTGTGAATGTGCAAAAAACAAATATAAGCTTCGGGACGGGGTGGGTTTAGCCACTGCAAATTCATTTCTTTGTTGTGGCCATAATAATGATCCATAATAATGGTCATCCCCTACGGAATGGCGTTGGTTTGGGAGGTTTTCGCCCTTCTGCAGAAGGGGGCGGGGCTAATTTTTGAAATAAACTGGTTTCAGTGTGAGCGTACAGCAGTCAGGATCCAAAATTTGGTGGCTCTATCTCGTATAGTCTCTGAGAACTAGCCGACAAACAAGACGGACAGACGGACGGGCAGACAGACGGACAGACAAACATGGCTCAATCGACTCGCCTATTGATGCTGATCAAGAATATATATACTTTATGGGGTCGGCGTTTCCTTCTCTGCGTTACATAAATCCACTTTGTGCACAAATACAATATATCCTATTTAATCTTCAAGTACCGGGAATAAAAATCATTGAAACTCTACTACGATTTATTGTAATGGAATATTTATTTATGGATTGCAATCTAGGTAACACTTATAAATGTTGATTATAGTTTACTTTGTTCGTTAATTTTTAATCAGAAATCTCACTTTTCGGGTCGACTAAGATTAGAATTTCTATCGTCATCAAATTTCTATGAGAGAGCGTAATCACTACATGCTTTCCACGCGATACCCAAAACGGAGTTATGATCGCATTGCTCAATACTTACTGTTGTGTTTCCAAGTCCGAAACTGATGGTAAAGAAAGCACGAGCAGATGCAAAAGACCAACGATATGAGGATCATTGTGAAAACGATACCCATCCACACCTCGTTCATGAACTTGTCGTATTCCAGCTGCTGCTGCAGCTGATCCACAGTGCTTCCGTCCAGGATCACATGGTTGGCCACGTCAAAGTCCATAGCCGCCTCACTGGAGTTTCTTGGGGGGGAAGTAGCTTCGCTAACCTGATGATGATGCTTTAGCTGAATGGAGTTAATAATCGTAGCTCCAATGTGCTGCAGGAAATCACTTATGGCCAGGGCGTCCAGAGTGGTGATTCTGGGTGTTGATTCCTCGACCACAGACGACTGTTTGACACTGTTCAGAATCTGCTGAGCCGCCGTTCCAGCGTAGTGGTCGAAATGTATATCATGCGACAGTTCGTAAGTCAATGCGCGTGGCAGGCTTTCCATGTTTTACTTTTATACTACTTAAATTATCCGAGAAAGTCATATAGTTTATTGTGTCTCCGTCGGCACTTTCACTGTTTCAGTATCTTCTTGCTGAGAATCTTACGTTCTGAATCTTGCTCTACGCTCACGTCCGGAAAGCACGGGGTCTAAAAAAAGACTGATCGTGAGCCGAGCAAACAGAGATTGCCCGCTAAGCTAGCACTCGGTGGAATTCCAGTCAAGAGAGATGATGAGAGTGGTTGGTTTCCAATTTCCATTCCTCTCTCTATGTTGGTTTTACGCATATCTGGGGAAAAGGTACTCTGAACTGCTGGAGAACAATCTTCGTTATTTCTCTGAGAGAAATCGAACAACGTTAGTCTTCTGTGCTCACAGACAATGCCTTCGCATTGTGGTCCCATAATTGGCGTTACAAAGCGGCGGCGCACATGTTGCCCGGAAAAAGAGGGTAGGGGAATGGGTGGAGGTGCCCAAACAGAACTGTTTCTACAGAAACAACGATCTGTATTTATCTTTGGGTTTCGTTTCTCTTCTTCTTGCAGCCCGTCAAATGACATATCTCCTTTTACAGTTCTTCTTGCATAGTTCGTCGTGGGTTTTGTAGCTCTATATTTGTTGTTTGTACCCCGCCTGAAGGGTCCATTGGCATGCCAAACCAATTCTCTTTTTCTTCTTAGCCTTTAATTTATTTCTTTTGAGGTGGTATGGTTTTGAATTACATTTACGTGCAGATATCTTATTTCTGGCACGCCTATATATGTACATATGTAGGTATAAATGTCTATCTGCTATTCTGCATAACTGAAATGACTGGTATAGGAATAGCTGAGTTCCAAACGTGTTACACCTGTGGTTTTTTATGTCAAATTAAAATGAAAGCTGGTTTAATTACGACTGATAACTTACTTTTACTTTTCCTCGCTAGCACCAAGGGATATTAATTGACTAAAATATATGTATAGCATATTAAAAGCACGTCTAAAATAAGTAGGCAATTTTAATTTAAGACACCCAACATATTCCTGATCAGATCACTTATTGCGCCAAAGTATAAGGGAATACAACTTTGTTTTATAGGTAAATAAAAAATAAGTAAATAAAACTAATTTCGATTTTTAAAGCATAACAAATTCTTATAACATGACTGGTGTGGCATTCTCTTCCTACGATTTTGAAACGAGTTTAGTATATTTGTCCTCCAGCCCAACCGACCGAGGGGCGCTGCCGCATGACGCGCGTCGCGATTAGCCGAACCGGTTGCGAGCATGCAATAAATATAGATGTTAGGCTAATATTCGAGGAAAATAAGATCTAAACACAACTAAACTAGAGCAAGTATAGCTAAGCAAGCAAAAATTACCAAAATCAGAAACAAGACAAAACTAAAATGAAACTAGCTACGGGAGAGGTAGGCTAGTACAAGAGATTTAGGAAGACGAAGGGAGTTAGTTAAGGATATAATGTGGTAGAGGGAATTAAATTCCAAGCATAAAACCCTAAAGGGTTCGTGTGAGGCATAATTCGATCTACATAGTGGAAGAAACAAAAGAATAAAGTTTCTAGTGGGTCCAATGGGAATCGTAAAGTTTATGCGGCTCAGCAAGTCAGGGCTGTCTCATCCCCCTTGATCAAGTTGTATGTATATGTAAGCCGGCCCGACTTGCTAAGTACAGGTACAGATACTGATCTAAAGTACATATTTAGTACTGAGTACCCAAATTGACTAATTAGCAACAGATCTGTTCCTTGAATACATTTTGAATCGCATCCAAGAGCCACAAGTGGGTGTTGAAATCATGTTTTCCAGCCGGGCAACAAGAAGCACTTGTTCTCTTCTTTCAACGGCGTCAGCTTCCCATCTTCTCTTTATTTTTGAAGCTCAGCAAGGCGCAAGGAAGACATACTGTTGGGCAGCCAAGGGGCAAGGGGCGAACCGTCAAAAGCAACAATGGAACAACAACTGCGTTTCACAACTGTGAAACGCTATCCTTTCCCATTCTTATGTTAAGGCAAGTCGCTTTGTCGTGTTATGTACATTTGTATACCTTATGATGTCGCCGTTTGTTTTCATGTGTTCAGCATTAAGTGCACAATTGAGTGAGCCTTTTACCATGCACAATTAAAAACGCGGTTGTGTATAGAGCTAGAAAAAACCAAGACTTAAGCGGGCGCAAAACTTTTCCTTTCTAGTTAAGCCTACATTTAATTATCCTATAACTTTCAACTGCACTCTACAGCCGACCCACCAATTTAGTGTCAATGAACCGCAGCTGTAATGTTTATATACACATCACTCCGTCCACAGATACACACAATCGCACGATGAGCTCTCCAGAAGTTGTGCACCTTCCGCCGTTGTCGTTACTTGGATTTTACTTTATTTGTTTAAGGGTTTTCCGACTGATTATCTTGAGCGCGTTTGAGCGTCAAGTTCGTTGCGCTTGGCCGGTCGGCTTCCTGGTAAGTTACTTTTGATTTTATTTTATTTTATTGTCATATATGTACGTACATTGTATTTTTCCTACCCTTTTCTCATAAATGGCTTCCAGATTTTGGTTTATTTTATGGTTAATCGGTCTAAATTTTCTCCACACAACATTTCATTGAACAGTATGAGGAATCCGATCAGTTTCCCTTAATCACCCCAATTGCTGGCATTATGTAGCTGATATGATTTATTCATAACCTACGCTTACAGAAAAAGTAGTTCCATTAGATATCTGAAATTATTATTGATCTTACCCCCGATCCGTTGTTGAAACTAAATTACTTACTAATAAATACAACAAATATGCTAGATACATACATATGTATGTACAAAAATATGTATATTCTAAATACCTATGCAAATGCATTTATCAAAAACAGGTGGGATTTTATATATTCAAGAGTTAAATGAATCCATAGTTTTTCTACGTCAAGGAGTTAAGGAGTTAAGGTGTCAGACTCAACATAGACCCGACACACGTAGGCCAATAAAACCATAGGTAAATGGGAATAAGAGTACATATATATGTAAAAAACCACAACAAATAATTTTGTATCTGAAAAAAATGACAACAGTCAAGTCTTGCATGCACAATTATATTACTTGTGAAAAAAACGAATTTTGATCTATTAAACACACTGCTAATCTGCGTGTACTCGCTTCGATTTCTGCTTATCAGAAAACCCGCATCGCGCACTGGGTGTTATTTACAAATGATGTGAAAGGTGTTAACGTAATTTATCTGGCTGTGGCCAGATGCACGTCATCACTGCACCTTTTCTGTTTCGAGCTCCGCCCTCGTCCGGGATATTTGGCTCTTATAATTTTGTCATAACAAATGTATTGGATTGTAACTTTATTTTATTAATTTATAATATTTTCCTTTCCAGTGGATTTACTTTTGGTTATCATTGCGTTGTATACAAAATCGGAAATAAAAGCACACGCTCATTTTTTTTTTTTTTTTTTTTTTTGAGGTTTTAAGTTACCGCTCTACCCTTAGGTAGAGGGGAATTATTTGGCCACCCGCCTTTACAAGGGTAATATGTAACTTGTTACAGCTTTGCTCCAATACTTACCTGGCGTAGAGGTTATGTTCCCCACGTGCTTGCAGTGTGCCCAGACACACGCTTCTTACGCTCATTTTTTACACACAAGCAAGAATCACCTGCCTTGATTGCAGGACCCAATTCCTTTTCTCTAAAATGTCCTCTGATAAGACCTCAACGTGGTTGGTTCCATGGGTTAATTCTATGGGTATTACACGCATTTTGGGATTTGACCAAGGACCAGCGAATTTGATTGAAATTACTTATGCACTCAATTAGAGTGGAGAAATAAGTGAAAATAATTTTTTTTTTAACAGTATCGTTGACGTTTGTACAAAGTTTTAATGGTATACAGTCATCCGTGAATACTCTAATTAAATCTGTTTTGCATAATTCCGTAAACATAGACCGTGAGCGTACTGCATCATCTACAAAAATTATATTCGTAAAATAACAGAACCAATGTATAATGCCACGCATTTATGGTACTGAGGCAAGTCCACGGCCTGAAGCGATATGGCAGATAGCAAGAGAAAAAGCCATACTACAGACAGCGGATCCAAATCCAATTAAACGATTTACAACGACACTGCATCTAATAAAAGAGCAAGTGAAGAAGAGCCCGGGCTCTTGAATTAAGCGAAATGTGAAATGGATTGAAGCACAGCTATGTGGCCTTGCCATTTTTCAGCAACCTGATGTCTACTTTCCACTTAAAGCGAGGGGGGACGTTGTGAGTCGCTTTTGACGACTTTTATTACTACTTTTATTTTTTTAGACACAGACACAGGTAAAATATTTAAAATATATAATTCAGGTTAAGAAATTGCAAATATTAGATCTAGAACATATAAATTGTTTGATAATCCACGAATCAGCGCTCAACCCTTTTAATTATAACCATCGCGAGAGGTCCCTCAGCCGGAAAGAGGTGACATAAGTTGAAAAATGTTTGAACGCTTTGGATACATTGAAAATACGCATCTCATATTATTTTTATGCGCGTAACGCTCAGAAGGAAAAGTTTCCGACCCTATAAAGTACATATATTTTTATTCAGCATGCCTGTTTGTGCCTGTCTGTATTGTGTATTTCAAATTTTCACTCCGCTCCCTCCGCCACATTTGTAAAGATAAGAGAAAAGTAAAAATACCATTCCGTAGGGAATGACCATATCTATCAGATCACTGAATTGAGATCATTATTATGGCCAGAATGAAAAACTTGTAGTGTGTAATGATGAAAAAACCACACCAAAGACCACCAGTGTTTTCATATTTTAACTGGAGAGAATATAAAGAAAGAATCGAGGAACAACAGGTTTTAGCCATAAATATTAATTAACTCAGACAAAGAGCCACAAATCGACGAATTGGAAAATAAATCTAATTGCAGCTAGTTGGTGGTCCACAGATAACAAGATCCCTTAGACTCAGGCTCAGACTCAATGCAAGAGGAAGTCGTAAAATTGATAGAGTCTCTGGACGAAGGAGCTAGTCTTTGGTCTGATTGTGGGACTGTCACTAGAGTGCCAGGTCAACGAAGCTGACTCACACTGTCCGACCAGCTCATTTTATTTACTGGAGCAGCTTATCAGCTAGCGCTATATTTCGTTGACGAAGCAGCTAACGAAAA